ATATTTGTCTTTGCTACTCAAATCTTTTCCTCTGCCTCTAGCACTGAAATATTTTTCTCTGTCTTTGTTAGTCAGGGTCTACTAAGCTGTTGCTTCCCTTTAGTTTTAGATGAATCTGCTTCTAGAAGGCAGATAGCCAGCTGTGAAAACACCAGTACAGCAGAGCTACATAGAACTTGCTAAGCATGAACACCAGCAAAATGCTGAGGTCCCAGAAAACAAATTATACATCTCTCAGATAAATTTTGAATTTGCAGTCTTCCCTGACTCAACAGCTTATGCTGAACTGTATCAGAGAAATGGTTATAATGTCATCTTTACCTTTGAGGTAGGTGACAACATGTTAGTTATCTGTAGAACAGTTCTCCTCTCCTTCCTTTTCAGTGTGGTTAATGAATGAGGATGTGGAGACAAAGAAACCTTCAATAACTCACACATTGTCCCATCAGCTTTACCTTTCTGAAGGCTGTAGATGATGGTGGGTTTCAAACCTTCAAGAAATGAAGAAGCAAAGAAAAAGTTGAGTTAGGGCACCAAGGGACGTGAAGAGCAAACACCTGCGCAGCAGCTTTGCTGAATGCCTCTGCCCCTCCCAGCTGGTGTGTGCTGCTGTCAGTAGTGAGCCACTGTTTCATGGAACACAGCTTGCTGACAAGCCATGTGCCTTCAACACCCCTCAGCCTGAATTTAAACCAACTTGGCATCAACAGAGATTTTTAGAGCTCAGGTATAAGGGTGGCCATCTTTAGTTCAGCTTTTCTGCTCAAGCAATATTAGTTTGTCTCTTTATGGCTCCATCATGTCCTCATTCAGAACAAAGTGTGGTGACAGGAGGTGAAAGGAAAAACAAGCCAAAGCCAATGACCTTTGTAGTTATTAGGGCTTAAAGCTATGTGCAATGTGAATACTTATGTAAATCTTACTGTAGAAATGATTTATTTTTCTTTTTCCTTTTTTTTTTTTTGGTGGAAACTAGTGGAAACTAATGTTATTGAGAAGTGTCTAGCTTTTGTGCTACTTTATTGAATTAGCATTTAAAGTACTTTGAAAATCTGAGACTTTATTGAGTATCTTTCTCTGTGGCTGGCCTGTCAGTCCTACATCTTGAATACACATATTAAAAGCAGGCCAGGAAACTGTTGCTTTTGCACAGTAGAAGGGACAGCACTTAAATTGCTTCTTGGGGATTTTTTTTAAGAAGTCTGTTTGCCAAATGATATATGTGCAATTAATGCTGATGATTGCTGCTAAATCTAATATGAACTGTAAGCATAAAGCCTCCCATTTCTGTTGAGCAAGAGGGAGGTAGTGCCAGGTAATGGCATTCAGTCAATGTTCTCTGTCTCATCAGTCAAGAGAAAGGGTAGAGGGGACAGTGTATCACTGCTAGCTATAAAATATATCTGGAAACAATATGCCTGAGTGCATGGGCTCGGGGAGGACACGGAGAAAACATCATGAAGTGTATCCTGTCCTTTATATGTTTCTGGCAATGAAAGTTGGATTTATTAGCAGTTTGTTGCTACAGTAAAAAGCATTCACAAGATTTACAGCTGAAACAATAGCTGCAGATGTTCACTTCTCCTGTATTTATTGAAGGTTTTGTTGAGCTCATGGCATCCTTTGAGTAATTGCCATCTGAGGCATGTTTTGTAACAAGGACTGTGTCAGAGTTCTGTGTCACCATATTTCATAAAGTTCTATTAGGTCTTTAGAAAAAGGCAGTTCAAAAACATTAACAAAAACAAATGTGTGGGCAAGTGGTAAAGGTGATAACTAACTGGCTGCCAGTCAGAATTTATGCATTTAGAGATCATCTCCTCAAGTAATGATGGGTTTTACATTTTGCTTAAACACAGAGTAACCATTGTCTTATTGTTGGAATGCGTTTCCAGAGTGTGCATTGAAACAGCCCAGAACATTCTCAACCATTTAAAAATAAGACAGAGAACTATACTGTAGTCTGAGGTATTTCCCTTTCCTCTATAGCAGAGAGAAAAGGTAATAATGTGTGTAAATAATGGTAATAGAATAAAACTGTTTAGCTTGCTAGAATTCTTGCAGTGTTTAAGACACACACTTGTAAAATTGTGGATCTTAGTGTTTGGCTGCACTTTGTAGAAGTTAGAGAATTAAAGGTAACTTTGTCTGAGTGTATCAAATGTGTTCTATTCAGTATCATTCTATTATTCTTTTTCCTCTTTTCTTATGGTTTTTGAAACATAATTTAATTCAGAATCTAAAGATTAAGCTAGGTCCATGATTTGTACAAGTTGTTTCCATAAATACCCTGTGTGAGGCCACAAAGTCTGGCAGAAGACCAGTTTTACTGTTATTGCACAAGTGTCATTGATTTGTATTTAGTGGGGAATAAAAAGTAGAAAAATGATGTAATTTTGAAACCAAATACTCATAGAACTCATGTATTATAAGGAACATACTTTCTGTATAGCTAATTTCAGAGCTCTTATTACTTCATCTACATTGAATTTCTATCCTTTGTAAAAAAAAAAAGTCTAATTGAAATTGGTTTGGTTTGGCTTTTTTGAGTATACCCATTTCAAAGTGTAGATCTGACTTTTCTGATTTTTCCCATGAAGTGAACATGACCCTTAGTGATTTGCATCTTGCTAACTCATTTGAATTGTGTGTTTAGATCCCAGCCCCCTTCCTTCGGTATTTCTAATGGTGTTTTGCCTTTACATTCTCTTGATCTGAAAAGGTGCATACTAAGGAGTTGTCACTCTAATATTTCAAAGCCTAAAATACATTTTTGACTTATTCCCTGGTATTTCAGAGAGTTCATTTTTTTCCTGTCATTATCACAGAGGAAAATAAGCCCAAACCTTATGGAAGGAAGCTGAAAGACTTGGTTTTAATCCTGTATATTGTCAGAAGTTTTCTTATCTTTGTCTGGAGGATTAGACAGGATTTTTAATGGCTATTTGTGTTAGCAGCAATAGGGTCCCCAGCTGAAGCCCAGCACTGCCCTGGGAGGTGTGGCCACTTCCAGGGGCTCTCAGGGGCCCCCAGGGCAGCACTCAGCTCCTCAGGGGCAGCAGGAGCCAGAAGACTCGGGAATGAGCCTGGGAAGAAGGCAGGAAGGTGGTTTTAGTTTTTGGGGTTTTTGTAATTGGTGAGGGAGCTCCCTGTCCTTATCTACACCCTGGAGATTTTTTTTGTCTTACAGTGTTTCCCTGTTCTGCTGAGAAGGGCAGTGAGGGTGGCTGACTGACAGCCAGGGCTAACCCACCACAGATCCATCTCTAACCCTGTTTCTAAAAAAACAGCACCAAACAAGCAACAAACCCCCACAACTCCAAACAAACAAAAAAGGCGGCTCCTGAAAATGTAAAAGAAAAAACATAACAAGAATGATGGCAATCACTTCTATTTCCTTTTCAGAAGGAAATGAAAATGCTACTGTTTACAAATGCCAAGAAAATGCCTCCAGCATTTTAAATAAGACTTTAAAATATTACATTAAAATTAGCATTTTCCACCAGTTTCTTTTTTTTTAAAAAAGAAAAACTCCGAGACTCAAAATAATTACTATAAATAAAATATTAAAGAGAAGTCATTTTTATTGCATTGCCTGTATTAGCAATGTAATAATTTCTTTTGAAGAATGCCATTACCTCTAGTAAATATTTAGTCTCTGTGCTTGCTCAAATCCAAACTGACTGTATCTGAAATCAGTTGGACAGCCAAAGGCAGTGAACTGTTGATGCACGTGACAAATGTTATGTAATTATTTAGGCATCTTAGTACAAATCCATTTCCAAATAAAGCAAAGGACACTCAGTTATGGAGATGCTACAAGTCATCGTTTTGGGGCTTGGCTCAGGAATCACTAACTTCCATTTGGGCACCAGATGGAATGTAGAGGAGTTAGCAGGAGTTTGGTATTCCTACAGCTGCTGTTAGGACAGGGAGAGGACATGAGTAATGCCATGGCAGCAGTTTTGTTGTTTTAGGGTTTTTTTCTCTCTTTCCCTTCTTTGCATAGATTTCCTTGCACTGGTCCATTGTGGAAATGAGTTAAATCATGGAAGACCAATTTAGGCAAGCAGCAAGGTAAGCACAGGCCTGCTGATGCTGGTGTATGCTGCTCTTTGGTTAGAATAAATTAAAGTCCTTCCCCTGAGACTGCAAATCCTGGGAGCCACTTTTCTGGCTAAAGATTTATTTAAGTTTTCAACCTCAAGAGAAAAGGCAGAATGGAAGAGAGTTTTCTAGTGCAAAATGGTGAGAGGGTAAGAAAGGACTCTCTCCACCCATGGAAAAGCACAGACTGACAGTAGAGCAGGCAGATGTGTCTCTGTTCAGGAGACAGGAATGTTGTCCCATATGTGCAGGATCAGTTTTAATCTAGTGGTTCAGTTTTGGCTTGTGCCTCCATTTAGCTTTGCTGTTTTCCCGTTTAGACAGCTGAACAGTTCCATTAATGAGTTGCTTTTGAAAATGGGAGGAGAAAAATGGTTTATAACTATTGTAACAGTCTAAAATTATTTATGTTGAGAATTTCTTCCAGTCCTTTATTCATAATCAAAGCATTTTCAAGACAGTTACAAGTCACTGTAGCCACATGGGTTAGATCTGGTTATGCTGTGAGGGCCTGGAGAAGATTATGTTCAGAGCAGCTTTTGTGTGTTCTTTCACTCTGCCATCTATGAGTGAATATTCATAGATCATTTAGTTTCACATATTTACTGGATTTTCTGTTTTCACATTTTAAGTCTTCATTTGAAATAAGCAGGATAATTTGGAGAAAACATTTTGATTACAGCCAGAAGCTATAAGTATTTCACTAATTAATAAAATAATGCTGCAAGATGCAAATGATTAAATGGAACATGTTTTAGATACTTTAAATTGCATAACTTAAAATGACATATTCTTTCACACTCCCAGATGGAACAAAACCTTGATATATTGAAACTTACATTTTTTGTTTCTCAGTGACTAAAATGATTTATTTTTCCCCTTTTTTTCTCCAGTGGGGTACTGCAGGAAATGGCCCTCTTTTGCTGAAAGCTAAAATACAAGGATCAAGCCATTAGGAAAAGAGGTAGGCAACTTGGTTTCCAGTTTTATCTTCAGCTTGTGGACTATTTGTTTAAAGAATGATGTAGTCTCTTTAATTATCTTGAAAGATCACAAAGAAATCATAAGTGATAAAGCTGAAAATAGGAGGCATCAGGGTCAGGAAATATGATTTAAGATTATTGTGAATACAAGTCAAGTCTCATTGTACTTGCCCTTACTTAAAAGGTCAAGAGTGATTTTTGTTAAAAATTCTGATTGCTTTCTATTTGAATAATGGAAACAGGAAATGGAAGGTATAAAAAAAAGCTGGTTAATGCAAAACAGTTAAAATGTATGTTTTTCTTCAGTGCTGTAAAAAGGTTTGTGTTGCAAGAACAATATTATTCTCAGAGTTTATTGCATCTGTATTCAATTTCTGCTGCTTTCCTTTCTAAAACACAAAGTTCAAGCTGCATTACTGTGCTGTGAGAATTTTATCAAAATTGAATGCAGCTCTATATTTGCATCTTGGCAGTCTGGGAAGGAGGGTCACACGTTTACAATAAGTACAAAGCACTTTGATGTTCTCTTTTGTCCCTGAGAAGAGGGCAGACTGTGTGAATGGTTTTGATAGCTTTTTCATGACAAGCTTATGTGAAACTGAACTGCAGACCCTGCTTTGAACCAAAGTCAACAACGAGGGAACATAGATTTTCAGTTAAAATGAAAAGATTAAATAATTAAAAATAGAAATAAGGGTAGAAAAAATAGATTAAGCAAAGCAGATAAATACATAAGTAAGATTAATTTGTGACTTGGGATTCTGGCCATTGATTATGGCTTTCTTACGTTCCTGGGAATTTTTTTACAATGCTATTGAATACACTGTTTCTGTGTTGGGGTCACTTTATTTTTTCTTTTTAAATCTCGTGGACCAAAGTATCAAGCCCAGCCCTGATATTATGTTCCCAGCTGGAAGGTTCTATAACAATCTGAACCTATTTCCTCTTGGAATAAAAGTGCATGTGTTGTGGTTATATTTTGATAATACATCTCTACAACTAAAGTTCAGATGTTATTTGCTGCCCTTACCGTCATCCTGTTTGCAAGATGACAAAGGGTAAATTAAATTATATGGATTCTTTGACATCTTATGTGATTTTTCAAGTGGTATTTTGACATTAACTTGTGAAATAACTAGTGGAAAGTAATTACAAAATTACCACCAGGAATTGTAAAATAGATCGTTTTGTCAACTAACTGAGAAAACTTGGAAAAATATGTTTTGTTTTTAAAAGAAAAAAAGAATTTTACTTAAATTATCTTGTTAATATCTACTAAATACTGTAAAAATATGAGGTCCAAAAATATTGTTACTATAGAAGAGAATGGTGTACATTCCTTGCTTAAAATTATATTTGCAGTTGAAGAGTTGAACAGCAAAAAAGAACATTTTCTGTCCTAATCTGCTACATTGGAGTCTGGGAAAAAAAAAATCAAGGTAGAAGCAGATTTAGTATTATAAAGAACAGCTGCTAAATATTTGCACTTCATCTCTCAGTACTTTGAGACTGAACCACACCAGAAGTATAAGGTAGTCTTAGGGATATTACAAAGAGTATCATAAGACAGATGGCAGCACTTCCCTGCACCTGCCTTAGACAGATGAGCTGCCTTTCTTTGGATTTTTTTCTATTTCTTTAGAGTAAGGCATCTGGAAATTCAGTTATGTTTGATTTGGGCTGTTTAATGTTCATGGTTATAAGACAGAGAAATTTTGGTAATTCCACTGAGGTAATCAGAATTATGTCCTTGTATCAGCAGAGTATGATTTAAATATTTAAACTCCAGAAAATCTTGTAAATCTCTTTTGTAGGTTTTTATTTGCCCAACACATTGTAGTCATTACACAAATTTTTTATACTGGCGTAGTTTTTTATTGACTTGGAAGAATTATTAATTCATATTTCATAACCTTAGCTCTGTTAAGATGAATGGACCCTGGCAAAAGGAGGACAAGCATTGAAGAGATCAGAAAGTCTTGCTGTTACAGTAGTATAGGTACAAATGAATAAATAGAATAGAAAGGCAAATAAAGGACTGAAGAAATGAGTCAGAATCACGCAGATGAACAGATGCCCTGCAATCAATATAAGAAAAGATGGGTATTTAATTAAACAAATAAACAAACAAAAAGTAGATTCGGCTAAAAATAACATCTGCAAAGTTTATTTTATGGTATCAGAGCAGCAGGTGTTGTTATGTGGCAGTAGCTTAACTCTGCTTTGAAAGTATTTTGCAAAAGCCAGATTGTGACAGCACTACTTCAGCTGTCATGTATCCTGCTCCAAAAGTGGTCCCATTAGCTTCACTTGAATTCATGCAATGTTTCTGGTGATTTCAAAGGGAATAGGTGTTGCTGTACAAACTTGAGAACTCCATCTGAGTATCACACATGCCAGCTAGAACAGACGAGAATGAGAGCTTGCAGGTCCTCGAGTATTTTTACTTTAAACATGGTTGTTACTGCCCCACAGAGTGGGAATAGTAATCTTGAACCTCAAAAGATATGCATCTATTTTTTCCAGTTTTGGAAAAATAAAACCAGCCAGACCTTCTTCTTAACTCTAGGTCCTGCTACTTAATGCCATTCAGGTGAAAATTTTAAGATGCACCTTATTTGTCCCCTGACTAGAAGCTTCAGCCCTTTGCTTGTAAGGGTCAAATATATCCAAATGAAAATGAAAGACCTGATCTTCCACAATACTGATGTTGGATGTACTTCCCTGAAATCAGCATCAAGAACACAGGAAGCTGTAAAAACCTCTTAATTCTGTGGTTGGTTTGTCTAAAGAAACCCAATGATGAAGAATTTGTCCTTGATTTTGAAAGAAGGAGAATGCAAGTAATTTCCTCTCCTAATGAGGTAGATGTGATTTGCTTTTGAGCTCTGCAGCAGCATTAGAAGGGACCAGTGGTGAACTGGATTTTATGTGATGTGTGGTAGATCATAAGCTTCTATTAAACTCTGAGATAGTGGAGCATACTGGTAAACTGGTGGGACTGGCTAACACAAGAGTAGAGTGAGGTGAAAGAAGCAGCTGACAGAATGTAAGGCAGCAGCAAACAGCTACAGCCAGTGTTTGCTGCACTCCTTGCTCCAGAGGATTTTAGAAACAAAGCAATGTTTCACCTTCTTTGCTGAGAAGCCCTTGGAACAACCTCAAATTGCAGTACTAATAGTAAGAGTTTGAGAGTAAAACAAGAAAATGAACTGTAGCAAATCTAAGGTTAGCATAGTATTGCCTTAGAGTCCTTGGGAAACTAAGAAATTAAGTGACTGAGTGAATGGTTGTGGAGCATGACCTTGCACTAAATCAGCCCTGATTTCAAGGGAATAAAAGGTAGTGACTGCAAATACTGCTTTTATTTGACTTTGTGGAGAACGCTCATATGATGCGATTAAAGACATGCAGAACTACACTGGTCATAAATGCAAAGTAATGAATGCACTTAAGGACAAGTTGAAACAGCTCCACTGATATATGTGCAATGCTGGGCTCTCATTCAGTTCTCAGCAGTTAGGAAAGACAGCTTGATATTGCATTCAAAAACCAGATGAGGCCAGGAGCAGGAAAGAAGAGCAGTGTGGAAGATGGGAAGTTCTTAAAAGAAAGATGAAACTGACTCTTCAGATAAAAAAAAAAATAAACCAACTGGTGAGGTGAAATATGATGGAGATTTAAGAAATCATGAGAGTATAGAAAAGGTGAATGGGGAGTGATTGCTCACGGCTTCTGACAATGCTGGTTCTAAAAGGTGCCCAATGCCATTATTCAGCTGCAGTTCTAAAGTGGAAAAATAATATCTCTCTTCCCCCTTGGGGAGAGGTTAGTCATTTAAACTTATGCTTTCTAGAGGCAGGGAGTCCAAGAGAACAAGAAAAAATTTGAAAAATCCAGTGTCCATTAGAGGCTATAAAACATCTTCCCTAAACCTGATTGTCAGATGCTTGTATGGTATTGGAGGGAGGGGGGTCTTTCTCCTGGCACATGTTGCCTGTCACACTTCTGCTCTTTTCCTGAACACTGTGAGTGACATGTTGGAGGTGGGGTAACAGGGGAAGTAAACCTTTGTTCTGATGATGTAAATAAGTTTCTCCATTCATATATTTTAAATCTACTTTAAAATTTCGGTGTCCTGAAGAAGAGAAGTGTAACAAATTTCTTATTAATCAGGGCAACTTTCAGAGTTACAGCTGATGGGAAGAAGTTGTTCAAGTGCACCTTGAAGAAAAGCAAGGCCTGGCCTTCAGCAGTAGGCATGGATCTAGTAGTTTTGGCTCTCTGCTGATGTTTTGCTCTGTAAGTGCCTGAATTACTTTGGTAACTGCATATGCTGTGAAACTATGTGACGAAATGGAGCAAAAGCTGAAATTAAAGTTCTGCAAATCGCCTGGTTTACTGCGTATGAATGCTTAGACCTGGCAGCTCTGAATGTCTCTGATCCAGATGAAATTGATTCACAGTGAGCCTAAACCATGCTGGTTATGAGTGGGAACAGTGTGTAAGTGCATCAGCTTTTAAAAGGCAGCATTAGGAATAGGCACCAGCTGATCAAAAGTTTCTGGGCCCATGGGAGGGCTCTGCTATCTAAATAGTATTTCAGTGCCCAATGTAATTTGTGGCTTTATCCCTGTAATCTAAATAACTATTTCTCTAATTCTCTCACTTTAACTCCGTCTCAGCTTATACTGAAAGAAAAATCTCTCAATGCTGTTACTTTCTTTTCTTGTCTTCGCAGGTGATTCAAAATACCTGAACAATAATCAAGTTGATTGCATCCATTCCTTAAATTTAGTAAAAGTTTTAGTTCTGGTACAGCAGATAGCTGGGAAAGGTTTTTAAAAATTAGCTCTCTGCCACTTCTGTCTTCAGTAGAATGGCTTGTCAGTGAACTTCAAAATAAGAAATTCTCTTAAACATCCAGTGTTCTCTGCTTGTCAGAGACCTGTTTGCATCTGTGACTGTACATCTGATGTCA